TTTCTTTGTACTAAGCTTTGTAGGCGCTGTTGTAGTAACCTTCGGATCCAATCTCTTGCTGCTACTACTCATCTCTCCTTTAACAGCCACCTTAGGAATAAAAAAAGAACCAGAATTGTATGATCTGGTGTATGGTTTCTTCCCCGCTTTATTCTGCTTCTCCACCTTGATAGCAAGCTTCTTAACATCATCAAGAGTCCAGAAAGGTTGCAACTCCACCTTAGACGCAATATCCTCATTCAAACCATGCACAAAACGCACAATGGTCCTTTCTTGTGGCTCTTGAACATCACACCTTAACTGCAAAAGATCAAACTCCCTTGTATACTCTTAAACAGTGCGCTTCTCTTGCTGCAAGTGTGTAAGCTTCAGGTACAAATCTTGTTTGTAATCGTCGGATAAGAATCTCCTCTTCATGGTCTCTTCAACTTCTCCCATGACCTGATTCGAGTTTTTCCTTCTCTAACACACTGCGCTTTAAGAGTATCCCACCAAAGACTAGCATAACCTGTAAATCTCAACGAGTCACCTTAAATTTCTTCTCATCGTTATAAGTGTTGTACTCAAACGCCATCTCCATAGATCTCAACCAATCAAGAAAATCATCTAGATTCAGATTACCTTCAAAATTAGGAAAATCCACTTTGAAATCTTCTTCACGACGAGGATGTTGTTGTGGACGATTATCTCTTCTCCTTTTGCCATGTTCCATAACAATACTAGGATTAACATCAGATCCATGAGAAGAACCTCTATTTTCATGAGAAGACGTTTCAACATCCACGACTCTTTGTCTCCCTGGCTGATCTTGAATATTCACGCCATTAAAAGCTTGAACAATTTCTCGCATCTGTTATTTTAGCTCCGCCATCTCTCTGGTAATACGCTCAGCATGCGCTTGTTCTAGTGTCAATCCTCTAGTAAGATCCATTAAAAACGTTTCACAAGAGTGGATAATCAAAAGTCTTCACTCCAACAACCTGGAATTTGCTCTAATACCACTTTGATACGTGTAGCAGGAAGCGAACAGAGTGAATGAATATACCCGTAACAAAGAAAAATTTGAACAGAACTGAAGTAACCGGATAAGACGAAGATACGAGATCACCACAACTCGTAAAGCCGAAGCACCGGAGCTAATAAAGAAATCCGCTGAGCTAGCACCACTCCTGGATAAAGTTGCCACCACCAGAAGATAAAGACGCTCGAAACCACCAACAATGACTCTCCCAAAATCAAAGGATAAAGTTAAAAGATCTAGATAGATCAAAAGGGGTCACAAAGACACTCCAAATTCTCAAACTCGTTTTCTGATTTTTATTCATGAATAAGAACCTCATTTTATAGAGGAAAATACATTAAAACGTGTATAATTAAAGCTCTACATGCAGAGCACCTAGTAAACTTAAATTCAGACTCTTTTATGCATGTAAGAGAGAGAAACAACCTGATTTTAATGCAGCTTTGACCAGATACGAAATTGGCTCATTTTGGGCCTGAAAACACTTCAATAATCTTATCTTCATAAAATCCAGCCCAAAAGAATGCTCTCTATGTTTTAGTTAATAGGCTGGACTAAAATCAACAAAGTGACAGCCAACCCATTCTTCTTTTCAACTCCTTGTGTTGCTTCCTTTTCTTGCACGTCTGCTCCCGCATT